AAATATAATATTGTTGCGTCACGCAACCCGATCCAAAAATAATATTGTTGCGGCGCACAACCGATCCACATATATAATGCAACACCAATCACAACAAGAGTCCCGGCAAGGGATCAATAAAGAAACAACACTATCCCGGCAAGGGAATCGACGGTATAAATAAATACGCCCCAGCAAGGGAAAATCAGCTATAACCAAACTTGTTCCAACATCTAACTATCTCAACTAGCACCAATACTCAATCATAAGTAATTTCCACGAGGATAATCAAATTCTTGTTCAACTTAGAGGATCAACTACTTAGGCATTCGTAGTATTTATTCAGAACACAACAATTTCAATTTAAGATTCACAGTCATGCTTGACACCAACGTATAGATACTCGTCGCCATGCCTATACGTCGTACTCAACAAGTAACATGTAGCAAATAGGACTCAACTCCTAATTCCTCAAGCTAATGTTAGACGAAACACTTACCTCGATGCCACGAACACAATTCAAACCTCTACTATCGCTTTACCTCTTGATTTCACCACCAATTCGCTCGTATCTAGCCACAAGTTACTTAATTACGTCAATAAATGCTAAATGAATCAATTCCAATGCATGAAAATAAGTTTTCCAAAGTTTTACCCAAAAAGTCAAAAATCACCCCCGGGCCCACATGGTCAAAACCCGAGGTTCAAAGCAAAACCCGATTACCCATTCCCCTACGAACCTAAATATATAATTTATTTTTAAATCGGACCTCAAATCGAGGTCCAAATCCTCAATTTTTGAAAAACCTAGGTTCTATCCAAAATACTCAACTTCCCCCGTGAAAATCATTGATTTTGAGTTGAAAACTTGTGAAAAGATGTTAATGATTGAAGAAAATGAGTTAAAATTGACATACAATCGATTTGGAAGAAGAGTTGTCTTTGAAAAATCGCCCAAGATTGTTTTGGTTTTGAAAAAGTGTGAAAATGAAAGATTTCCGGCTAAGTTATAAAATTGCAGGTTGCAGATGTCGCATTTGCGACCAGGGAATTGCGAACCAGACTTCTGCTAAGTTGGGAATTGCGAAGAATGCGTCGCATTTGCGACGACTGGCTAAAAGGGGAGGCATCGCATTTGCGATCATTTCCTCGCATTTGCGAGGTAGCTGGCCTGGGCCATTGTTCGCATTTGCGACAAGGCCTTCGCATTTGCGAACTCGCATTTGCGAGCTAGGCTTCGCAAATGCGAAGCCTGCAGGCCTGCACTGAATCAACTGAAAACCTGCAATTCTCCAAGTCCAAAATCCACCCCGTGGCATATCCAAAACTCATCCGAGCCCTCGGGGCTCCAAACCAAATATGCACACCAACCTAAAAACATCATACAGACTCGCTCGTGCATTCAAATCACTAAAATAACATCAACAACTATGAATTTAGCATCAAAATCATGAAATTTCTTAAGAACTTCAAATTTTTCAATTTTTCTCAAAACGATCTGATTCACGTCATTTCAAATCCGTTTCTTACCAAATTTCACAGACTTATTTTAAATCACATATAAGACCTGTACCGGGCGCCGGAACCAAAATACGGGCTCGATACCATCGAGTTTAAACTCATTTCATTTCCAAAACTCAGAAATAATTTCAGAAAATAATTTTCTTTAAAAATTTATTTCTTGGGCTTGGGACCTCGGAATTCGATTCCGGGCATACGCCCAAGTCCCATATTTTCCTACGGACCCTTCGGGACCGTCAAATCACGGGTCCGGTCCGTTTACCTAAAATATTGATCGAAGTCAACTTAAATCTATTTTACAGTCAAAATACATCATTTTTCACAGATTTTCACAGATTTTCACATAATGGCTTTCCGGATACACAGCTGGGCTACACACGCAAATCGAGGTGATGCCGAAAGAGGTTTTTAAGGCCTCGGAACGCAGAATTCATTTTAAAGGTCATCACAAATATGTGTCGTGGTTACTAAATATAGTTGTCTCAAATTATTTGTCATTTTAGAAGTTCAAGACAAGATTGATTATATTTTTTCTTTTTTACCCTTAATATCAATTGCATTGACATTTAGTAAAAATATGAATATTGTCATTGATAGAGATGACTCATAAATTGAGAAAATATTTAAAAAGGGTAAAGTAGTCAAAAATTATTCTTTCTTAAATGGCATGCACAAGAGAATCGCGACACATATTATGAGACGGAGGGAGTATTTTTTTTATCTTCCATCAGCATAGGTATCGAATAATTCTCCACCAAGATTTGGATAAAGGGGTAGAAATTACCTAATAATTTTGCCTCCGCTCATATTTAAACTTGAGAATTCATAATTCTAAGCTCACTTCATTGACCACTAAACTACACCCATTAGAGTGTAGTTTCATTGAGAAATATTCCAGCTTCCCTTTATAGTTATAGCGTTAAAGTACAAACAATAACCATTATATTAATCGAAAGACTGATTCCAACACCAACTAAGCAATGGTTAATTATTAATAACAGGTTACTTTTAGCCAGATTCAGGACAGATTTTAATTTGTACAAATTGTGGCTGATCAATTTCCTGTGACAGCAATGCATATGCCAACTCTATGACCATTTGTACGGAAGCACCAGCATATGCCAAATAATTTCATAAGTTTTATATGTCAGAGATATTTCTTCATTTAGTCGTAACTATGGAAAATTTTATAAACAGAATAGTAAAAATATCTCTTCAGTTTTCATTTATTTAATGTTTGCAGTTCAAATTTAACATGAGTAAATAAATTCAATATATACTCACTTCGTTTATCATTTGAGAATTTTGGGTTCATTCATGGTTTTCTTTATGAAGAAACAAAACGAACAATGATAAAGACAAATTAACATTCAAATTACGTTTAATTTGTGAATGTTAAATGGTAAAGTTATTTTCGCGCGACCTATAGGTCACGGGTTCGATCAAAGAAAGCAGCCACTAATGCTTGTATCATGATAGGTTGTTAGGATGCGACCTTCCCCCGATCCTGCATGAATGCGGGACGCCTTGTACACCGGGTTGCCCTTTACCATTCAGGTTCCATTTAATTTGTGACAATAATGGATTTTTGTATCAACGTTTCTCTACTCTTTGTAATGATTTGCCCAGTCAAGCAGGGAATGCAGAACTTATTTTCCAAGAGTATCTATCAACAAACTTGCTTGTTCAAATGTTGACTATTATCACATACTACCATTTAGTGATGTTGTCAATGTTTGTTGCTTTAGGAATTTCCTCGAGCCAAACTTTCTCATAATGCATAATCCGTAAATATGATCTAACTTCTAAATTTATGAACTGATGTAAGCAGTCATAATAGAGATATTTTATCAGTAACCCTCAAAACAAGGAGAGCTTTGTCATCCACTGAGGTGCAATGGTAAAGATCTACAAGTATGAGGAAAGAGTTATCATAGCATAGATGAAAATTGCACCATCTTTTTCTATCAAAAGAAAGAAAAAAAAACAAAGAGATCAGAAGAATGCAAATTTTGGTGTTGCTAATACCGGAGGTTTTTGGCCCAATATTGAATATGAAATTTT